AATTATTAAAGTTAGTAATATTATAATCTTTGAATACCCTTTAATAAATCTTCTGTAAAAGTTTACAAATCTAAAGAAAAATTATATTTCTTTAACATTTTTTAGTTAAGGCTAGTCTTATACTGCCTTAACTTTAGATTTATTTATCTAGATTCTACTTATAATTAGGATATAATCTAGGAACTTTACTTTCTTTTTATAAAATTTATACTTCTCTAATTTAACTAGGAGATATGCCTTCTTTAGAGCATAAAGTACCTACTTTATATAACTCTTATATTCCTCTTCTGTTTTTAAGTAAATAAGGATATTATTAAGGTATACTATAACAAAGATATCTAAGAATTCTTTTAGGATATTATTAACTAAGGCTTAAAATATTACGAGTATATTTATTAACCTAAATAATATAATAAGATATTTATAATAGCTATACTATATATAAAATATAGTTTTCTATTCCTCTTCTTCCTTTATTTTAACTAGATTATATATTCCTTATAAGTTAAGTATTATAAATTATTTTGCTTTATAAATTCTATTATAAAGTTCTAAGATAAGTAGTAATATATATTAATTCTTAATTATAATTGTATTTAGTTATTTATAATCTATATATAATCTTAACTTTTCGTTAGATTTTAGTACAAATAGTATTAGATAACTAGTTAAAGATGTTAAAGATCTAATAAACTTTTTCTTTAGGTTTTTATTTAGATACTCCTTTATTTCTTTTAATTCTCTTTCTAAAAGTTAGTATATTAGTTTAAATACTAGTTTACTTTTAGATTCTAAAGATATTTTATAATCCTAAGGTTAATATTTAGGCAAGGCTATACTTTCCTTATCTTCCTTAAATAACTCCTTAAATTCTTTATATTCTAGTAAGTAGTTATTAAGACTGTTTAAAGCTTCTGAGATTATAAATTATATTTATATAGCCTTAGTTTGGCCGTTTGGTCGTAACAGTCCGCCGTAGCCTACCGTCAATAGAGAGAGGTGCTTGTCAATCTATTTTTAAGGTGGGAACAGAAACCCGTCCAAAAAGCTGTCATAAAATGTAAGAAAATTCCGCTTGCTCAATAAGTGTAATGTATCTTATGCTGATGGAAGAAGGGATTAGAAGCTCCTGAAGTACGAAGGAAGCAGAGGACTCCCCAGGCGCCACGATTAGAGGCCCCTCGGCTCTATAAATAATTGAAGTTTAGAGCCACATTTGCTACATGCTTCTTGACATAGATCGACGTTATACTACGACTTCTCAGGTTGAGTGGTGTTGAACGTTGCTGACTAATCGACGGATCAGTGTTGAAATAGCAAGTTGTTCTATCTAATTCAGTGCGCAGAGCGAGCATTTATACGTACAGAGTTGCTATATCAAGAGAAATAGCGCGAAATGCAGATACCAAAAATACATGCGAAACGCGTAACAGGTCTGTAACAAAACGCATATGAAACGCGTAGCAGGATAGCACAAACCGTATTTTTGAGTTCAACAAGTGGATACAAGCGAGAGCAGAAAATTCCGCTAAGTAAATCAGTGTCCTCTACTAGTTAGTAGATATCTTTAGTCAAATCTTCTAGTTCACATTAGCTTTCATTATTTCAAAAACAAGGAAGAAAACTATCAGAGGGCTAGCATATACAGTTTTCCATCATTGCGTTGGCAAGTTCTTTACTCACCCCGCTCCCTGAACTTTTTTACGTCGAGAAGCGACGAATACTTTCGCGGATTACAAAAATCCCTCCGTTATCCGCTGCTGATTGTCTCCGTCTTCCACTCGTAAGTCTATAAAAAACTGCGTATAGCCGTTTTCTACATTATATTCCCTTTGCAGCGAAAGAACTACTCGCTTCGTCCTTAAGTCACCTCGTAAATGTGGTAATTCAAGAATTTTTGTTACCAGTGATACTGAGTCATCATGAAAAGATAGTGCGTAGTTGTGATCAGTGATATAATAGAGTGGTCTTTGAGCCGACCATTGATCCTCGCGCACCAAGTCACATTGCCAAAAGCCGGATGAAAATGGAAGCCCACGCGGATTTCTGAACTGACACAATAAAGTGAAGGATGGGAAATCGTTAGACCATGTTGGTCTAAAGTGTAGGCTGGCCGAAAAGTAATCATTCAGGTTTGCACGGAGCGTACGAAGAGATGAGCACCAGGTAGTATTCGGTTGGACACTGGCAAGACCAAAGTCTCTGCATCCTCCCGAGATCCGCGGGCTTACGGATATATATTTCCCGTCTGCCTACGGCGACCGAGTCTTTGGCGGAAAGTCTCTTAAAACAACAAAGCGAATGAAGATTGAAGGCTGCAGCCTCAAGTGCGTAGTTGACAAGACGATACGGCAGAGCGCGAACAAAATCCTTTGTCCCTATCATCCGAAGGTACACCCCGTAGCTGGTCCTTCTGTTGGTGAGGTCCAAGGAGCTTACAGACGCATCAGGCGGGAGATCGAAATGTAGTACCGGCAAGATGAGAAATCCGGTGCTCTTGTCTGACTGTAAAGGAGCGTGAAATTGCACGCCACGATCCGAGATAGAGAATGTAAGATTTGGGCCCACTAGTGATTGAGATAGGGCGGGGTACAGACTCGATGAATCCTTGAACTCTCTCGGTGATGGAGCAAGAATTCCCATGTTATCCTGACAAGTCCCTGGCAAGGCCTTCCATGCAAATATTGACATGTCCACGTAGTTTTTAATGATCTCCTCCTGCAACCGCAGAAAGGCTTTATGTCCTTCTCCGTAAAGCATTGGCATGTTAATGTCGAATATTCCCAACAAGCTATATGCGATATCCTCTTCTCTGGTTGTTATTCGTTCAGCCGCCCATGACAGACGGACCGCTACAGGAACATCGGCAAGTTGTGTTTGGCCAGTCAAGCCAGCTTCACTGATTCTAGATATTCGAGCAACCTCAGAGCAATATGCCAACTTATTACCTCGAGCTTGCCAGGTTTTATCGTAGAAGATAAGCGTTTCGGATGCGACAAGCTCCTGGAGGGTCCATCCACGAGTGAACCACTGGCAATGGGTAAATGTTTGGTCTTCCGGTTCCCAGTCAGCAAAGAAGGCGAAGCAAACGGCTGCTTGATGGTACCACTTGAACATCGAGTTGGTAGACTCGCTGAGTTCCGCGGTGCTCGATTTATCAATACAGCAAGTATCAATCCAGGCATATTTGAGATTGTGGTCTTTACGCGCCAGTTGACATATCATCTTGATCTTTTCAACCCCATATTTTTTTTTCCGTTTACGATAACAGAAAGTTGGGCTTCATATCTTTAAGGGAGACCTCATCTTCATCGTTGCCCCACGTATGCGATAGAATTGCGTAAGGCAAGGTAATTTTACTACTCGAGAATCTCTCCAGCTGCAGGGTCGAGGTATTAATGAGTCTCATAATGTAGGAGATTAGGCACGAAGGTAGTCAGAGGCAGGGTGATGTCGTCTTAATTAAGTCATCGAGTGTTGTTTGCAGCTCGTTCGGTCCGCAACGCTCTTGATTCTGTGCTTATGGAGAACCTCGTCGTTTGCGAGGGTCAACGCACTAATTCCTGGACAGTGCATGATAAATAAAGGGTTGTATATTATCAATATCAGGTTATTTAGTATAGCTTTTGTAACTAGTATGTCAGTGAGGTGTAAGATGCTTGGTCTATCTAGTCTATTTGCTACTACTAATACTATGCTACTAATTGCCCTACTTGGCAGGTGCCTCTTTGGCGCCAAGGTAGCGCTAGAATAGCGCTCTGTTGCCAGAACGCCTCTGGGTGTGCTGCGGACGTGCCAGTGGCATGCTAGTAATATCCACCAAACCACGGTAAAATTTGACATTTATTTAATTGGTCCGCATTGGGACCAGGGGTCCTTAGCGCCCGTAACCTTGAACCTTAATTTCTGCGGTGCAATACTAGAGCTGTGGTAGCGCAGTAAGAATAGAGTACATATCAAGAACTCAATGACCTAAAAGCATCATTAAGAAGAGATATCAGGGCCTCTAGATACTATAAAAGCTGCTCCATTAGCTAAAGACCTGCCTTAGCTGAAGAGAGCTTAAATCCAGAGCCGAAAAGCCCTTGAAAATCAAGCTTAAAATCAGCTACTTAAAGTATCTTTTTCAAAGTCTACTATAGCTGCAGCACAGCCTATTCACATACTAAATTCGCTAATTCTGAGCTCCTTATGCTTAAGTAAAATATATAAAAAATAATAATAGTTAT